GCAAGGAAGTTTTATCTTGAGTTTACTATAAGAGTTGCTGTAGCGCTAAAAATATTATTTCATTAATGTTTGAAATTTATATTTCAGTGGATCTTCTCTAAATTAAAAAAAAAATTGTTTCAAATTACATGCAATTCTATGGTGTAATTCGCGCACATCTTTTTGTTTATAAACCCCGGTAATAGTTGAATATGTAACAAGTACAAATATCACATCATATTTTCATCTGATCTTTTTAACCATGTTGGTCTAATTTTGTTGCTTATATGTATGGATGGTCTTATGCAACCCTGTTTTCACTTTTAAATCTGACTGCTAGAAGTATGCACATTGCACAGCTTTGACATGTTTGATTTACTCCCCATTGTTTTGGTTTTCGAACTGTTGCTTATTAGGGGCATTTGCCATGTTCTTTTCCTGTTGATCATAGGATGGAATGACAATGTCAGACCAAATGGATCTCCTTAATGAGCAAGTTAAGATGCTTGCTGGAGAGATTGCATTAAGCACCAGTACTCTAAAACGTCTGGTAGAGCAATCCGTGAATGATCCCGAGAGTTTGAAAACTCAGGTTTGATTACTTTCTTCTGCTCAAGAATATATAATTAATGTTATACAATTGATTTAGTTCTGTCACAACTGCATAAACTCCATGCTATCGTGCATTGTGACATTACATCGTCTGGTGCTTTGGCCTCTTGCTGAATGCTGCAACAAGACGTGATAGGAGCAGCCCCATTCTTTGAAACTATTGCATTTGCATTTGGATTTTCTGATCTTTTATTTTCCTTCTGCTGTAGTTTAGACATCTATTTGCTTTTAATGTACGTTCTATTCTTCTAGCAAAGGATATGCGCACCAATTTTACTCTTTCCCATCAATGTGTTGTACATTAAACTTTTATGTTGGTTTTCCAATATAATTTTCATCCTTTTTTGACAATGTAAATTTTTTTTCTGAAGAACTTCAATTTTCTCTTTTGAAATTTTGTTTTGAATAGTAATTTTGATCCGAAAAAACTTAATTTAAGGGGTAATTCTGAAACTATCAGTTATGCTATCATCATGCATAAAAGTTGACTTTCAAACAGAGATGATTCGGCGTTGCTGGAATATGATTTAGAACTCTCTTTAGAGTTGCGGAATATCAAGAATTTGAATTTTTTGTTTAACAAAATAATAGGGAGTGTTTAATTTTTGGAAGCCCGAAGTCTCCTATGGGAAATTTGAAACCTCGTGTTTATATGTGCCTTGGAATGCAATTTGTGGGAAAAGTGAAAGTCCGAATGTTCTAAACTCAGACATGTCCCTGTGTTTTTATTTACAGATTCAGAACTTGGAGCATGAGATCCAAGAAAAGAAAAAACAAATGGGAGTTTTTGAACAGCGCGTTGTTGAGAATGGTGAAGCTTCAGTTGCTAACGCATCATTTGTTGAGATGCAGCAGGTCATACAATTCTCACAAAAGAATTATATGCTGCAATTTTGTGATTATGTTATTGAATAATATATAGATATATCCGTTGTTAAACTTCTTTTTTGAAACAGACAGTCATGAAATTGATGGCCCAGAGTAGTGAGAAAGATTGTGAACTAGAGGTTTCTTCTTCCTCTTCTTCCTTTCACCTTCCTCTTGGTATTTCTATCATGATTTATCAGCCGAAAAGACATGTTATGGCATTTGCTTATCCTTCCCAGAATCCCCCCTACTGACCAGAAAAAAGCCATTTATAATTGTATCATTAAGCATTTCGGTTGCACAAATGCAGATTATAATTGCGGACAATCGTATACTCCAGGAACAACTGCAGAACAAGGTCAAGAATATGTTTAGTCTTTTAACTTTTACACAAGATATTTCTCTGAGAAGTTCTTTCGTCTACTTCTGTATTTATATCTTTCTTCTGCTTTTGGGTCTATCATTATTATCAGTGTGCTGAAAACAAGGAGTTGCTAGAGAAAAATATTTGCCTGGAACAGCAAATAGCTTCATCCTCTTTGGCCAAATCGTTATCCTCTTCCAGACAGAGCCTATCTGATGAATATGCTGATGAATTGAGAAAGAAAATGCAATATAAGGTAAATAGCTGTGACCTGTTGACTTTGAGATCTGTGGTTGTAATTGAATTGGTATGTAAAAGCACACGATGTCTCATATTCTAATCTGGAAGCAGCACATGTTCTTGCTTATGGATTTTTATTATTTATTTCTTAATATACTGGTAATTTTCTGTTCCAGAACAGCATGGTTGTTCAAAAAAGAGATAAGAGCATGTTTGTACGTTTGATATTTCAATTTGACAAATGATATTTCTGCTCTGATCAGGAAATCGAGAATGAGAAACTGAAGCAAGAACATGTTCAGATTTTAGAGGAGAATAGTGGATTGCGTGTCCAAAATCAAAAACTGTCTGAGGAAGCATCTTATGCTAAGGAACTAGCCTCTGCTGCTGCAGTTGAACTGAAGAATTTAACTGGTGAAGTTACCAAGCTATCATTGCATAATGCAAAACTTGAAAAAGAATTACAAATTTCTCGTGAGATGATGAACTCTAAAAATGGCAGTAATCGCAAATACAGTGATGGCCAGAGGCCTTTTCGCAGAGGTCGGCTCAATGGTCGAGCAACTGATGTTTCTGGAGTATACCGTGATGACTTTGACTCTTGGAACCTTGATCCCAATGATTTAAAGATGGAATTGCAAGTAAGGAAACAACGAGAAATTGCTCTTGAGGCTGCCTTGGCTGAGAAGGAATTTTTGGAAGACGAGTACAGGAAAAAGGTTGCTGAGGCCAAGAAAAGGGAGATGTCTCTGGAGAATGATTTGGCAAACATGTGGGTTCTTGTTGCTCAATTAAAGAAAGATGGGAGTGTTAACCCAGATTCAAAGATTAATGAGAGGCAGAATGATAACAGAGACCGTATAAATGATCTAAAATTGGAGGATACTGACCTTAGGGATCCAATCCTCAAAGGTCAGCAAGCTGAAGATCATACAACCCAACTTTCCGACATTTCCAAGGAAGAATCTCTTGTTGTCCGCTTGAAGGTAAATTAATTCTCACTCTCTCCTCTAAGCGCATGTTTGGTAGCTATTCATAATTTGTTTGGTCAAACCATTTTTTATCCACACCTTTAGTGGTAACTCGCTTATTCATCACTCATTTCTATCCATTTATAATTTTGAACCGATTATAAACAACTCTCAAACATGCAATTGATGTTTACATGCCTTCTATGTTTGCATCTGTCCTTGTTTGTTTTCTTTCCATTCTGGATTTTCTTGTTTTGTTATCTTATGAATTGAACTAGCCCTTTTTATGATTATTGGCCATTTTTTACTACATCAAGCACAAAGATTTAAAATAGTATATCCTTAACTTCTTCTGGTTGTTATTTTCTTCTTTATAATTTGAATTTGTACTCCTTCGGTTCTGAAATAGACCCCGAATTCAAAATTTGGAAAATGAAGTTAAAAATAACAAACATAAAAAATGTTTATTCACCTTTTATTTTGGACTATAAAAGTTCCCGTAACTAGCTAGTCGTCATTTGCTTTGCATTTGAACAATCTATTTATTCTGATTGTCTGGCTTCTTATAAACGGAAACTACATCGTTTTGTTGTGCCTTTTGTATTCATTTACTTAGGCCCGGATTCAAGAGATTAAGGAGAAAGAACTTGGTTGCACTGGGAATGGAGATGCAAATTCGCACGTCTGTAAAGTATGTTTTGAATCACCTGCAGCTTCAATGCTTATTCCTTGTCGCCATTTTTGCTGTAAGTTATCTTCACGATCATGAGCCTTCTTTCTTTTTCCTTCTTAAGCTTTTCCCATTAAAGCAATAATTACGTTTGTTACTCCTTTGCAGTTTGCAAACCTTGTTCACTTGCATGCTCTGAATGTCCAATCTGCCGAACTAATATTGCAGATAGGATTTTTGCCTTTACTTGACACCCATCTAGAAAAAAAGGTGAAGAAAATTCTCCGACTCTTCGTCTGATTGACCTCTACTGGAGTATTGACGGACATTGTTTTCGTACATGACTGGTTCATTATACATAAATTTTTATTAAAGAAATTCCCTTACAATAATTTCCACTAGATCTTATATATCAGATGATGAATTTATTCAATATTATGAAACTAAAATTTTGAATTTTCTCTGCAGGGATTTGTCATTATTCGTCTGCTTGGTATTTTCCTCGAGGGTTTTTGATACCATTTCATTAGTTAAATTATATGTAACTTGTTAAATGGTATATCATTGTTTTCTCCCTGAGAAATGCGGCCGGGCCCTGGATGTGTGTTTGAACATGGTAAATTTGAAGTTCGCAGGTGCATCGTGATGATTTCTCCGAGCTTGTAATGTACAGAACGGTACATATCTTGGGTAATGTTACCCAACTTACCGTAGATGCAGTAATGAACTGAAAAAAGTGGTTTTGATTTGTTTAGAGGACATAAAGGAAAAGACTTTCTAGTCCAAAGGCATGTAGGTGCTTTTCACCAAAAAATGCCCGTCATTGTGAAAGAAGGTCCAACTACAGAGTGAGTTTTTGTGGAAGCACACATGATTGTGAGATGAGAATGAGACAAGGAGCATGTAAATAATTCACTTTGATAGGAAGGATTAGATAGTTCTAAATCGTATTTAAAGGTTAAACCAAATTAAAATTGTTTATAATACTGTTTAATCTTGTTTAGTATTGAATACACCCTGCAGTTTGGATACAAGTCTCGCAGAGGTCGGATCAATGGTAGAGCAAGTGATGTTTCTGGAGTGCTCCGTGATGACTTTGACTCTTGGAACCTTGATCCTGATGATTTAAAAATGGAATTGCAAGTAAGGAAACAACGAGAAATTGCTCTTGAGGCTGCCTTGGCTGAGAAGGAATTTTTGGAAGACGAGTACAGGAAAAAGGTTGCTGAGGCCAAGAAAAGGGAGATGTCTCTGGAGAATGATTTGGCAAACATGTGGGTTCTTGTTGCTCAATTAAAGAAAGATGGGAGTGTTAACCCAGATTCAAAGATTAATGAGAGGCAGAATGATAACAGAGACCGTATAAATGATCTAAAATTGGAGGATACTGACCTTAGGGATCCAATCCTCAAAGGTCAGCAAGCTGAAGATCATACAACCCAACTTTCCGACATTTCCAAGGAAGAATCTCTTGTTGTCCGCTTGAAGGTAAATTAATTCTCACTCTCTCCTCTAAGCGCATGTTTGGTAGCTATTCATAATTTGTTTGGTCAAACCATTTTTTATCCACACCTTTAGTGGTAACTCGCTTATTCATCACTCATTTCTATCCATTTATAATTTTGAACCGATTATAAACAACTCTCAAACATGCAATTGATGTTTACATGCCTTCTATGTTTGCATCTGTCCTTGTTTGTTTTCTTTCCATTCTGGATTTTCTTGTTTTGTTATCTTATGAATTGAACTAGCCCTTTTTATGATTATTGGCCATTTTTTACTACATCAAGCACAAAGATTTAAAATAGTATATCCTTAACTTCTTCTGGTTGTTATTTTCTTCTTTATAATTTGAATTTGTACTCCTTCGGTTCTGAAATAGACCCCGAATTCAAAATTTGGAAAATGAAGTTAAAAATAACAAACATAAAAAATGTTTATTCACCTTTTATTTTGGACTATAAAAGTTCCCGTAACTAGCTAGTCGTCATTTGCTTTGCATTTGAACAATCTATTTATTCTGATTGTCTGGCTTCTTATAAACGGAAACTACATCGTTTTGTTGTGCCTTTTGTATTCATTTACTTAGGCCCGGATTCAAGAGATTAAGGAGAAAGAACTTGGTTGCACTGGGAATGGAGATGCAAATTCGCACGTCTGTAAAGTATATTTTGAATCACCTGCAGCTTCAATGCTTATTCCTTGTCGCCATTTTTGCTGTAAGTTATCTTCACGATCATGAGCCTTCTTTCTTTTTCCTTCTTAAGCTTTTCCCATTAAAGCAATAATTACGTTTGTTACTCCTTTGCAGTTTGCAAACCTTGTTCACTTGCATGCTCTGAATGTCCAATCTGCCGAACTAATATTGCAGATAGGATTTTTGCCTTTACTTGACACCCATCTAGAAAAAAAGGTGAAGAAAATTCTCCGACTCTTCGTCTGATTGACCTCTACTGGAGTATTGACGGACATTGTTTTCGTACATGACTGGTTCATTATACATAAATTTTTATTAAAGAAATTCCCTTACAATAATTTCCACTAGATCTTATATATCAGATGATGAATTTATTCAATATTATGAAACTAAAATTTTGAATTTTCTCTGCAGGGATTTGTCATTATTCGTCTGCTTGGTATTTTCCTCGAGGGTTTTTGATACCATTTCATTAGTTAAATTATATGTAACTTGTTAAATGGTATATCATTGTTTTCTCCCTGAGAAATGCGGCCGGGCCCTGGATGTGTGTTTGAACATGGTAAATTTGAAGTTCGCAGGTGCATCGTGATGATTTCTCCGAGCTTGTAATGTACAGAACGGTACATATCTTGGGTAATGTTACCCAACTTACGGTAGATGCAGTAATGAACTGAAAAAAGTGGTTTTGATTTGTTTAGAGGACATAAAGGAAAATACTTTCTAGTCCAAAGGCATGTAGGTGCTTTTCACCAAAAAATGCCCGTCATTGTGAAAGAAGGTCCAACTACAGAGTGAGTTTTTGTGGAAGCACACATGATTGTGAGATGAGAATGAGACAAGGAGCATGTAAATAATTCACTTTGATAGGAAGGATTAGATAGTTCTAAATCGTATTTAAAGGTTAAACCAAATTAAAATTGTTTATAATACTGTTTAATCTTGTTTAGTATTGAATACACCCTGCAGTTTGGATACAAGTAAGTTTGCTTGGTAAAAGTTTTTCAAGGAAGTAAATATTTTGAAAGGGTGCAGTTCATAAATTTTGTATATGTAAACTCGTAATTATCTAAAAAAGAAAATGGGGAGTATTTTCACTTTCAATAAAAGTAGTATCAATGACTTTGGCAACCAAGCAGACCAATATTATTTCAACCTCGCAACGTGTGCAGAACGGGGCGTCACAGAAGTACTATAGACAACACACACAAAGCGGGAGTTCGGCATTTTTTTTTGGCCCATGGGTGCCGCTTGGGGCCAACCTCATGTGCCCCTCCGTACAAATGGTTTTCCCCATATTATCTGGGCCAACCAATGAATAATGGTGTTGATTTGCGCCAGCTGGCCTTGTTTACTTGAAAATTTGGGCCATAGAAATGATATCCATAAAAAATTAAAAGTCGCTCTTTTTAATAAAAACGTGTATCCAAAGGAGAACACTTTTAGTTCAAACTGAAACTGCACGACGCAAAAAGCCGATAAGCAAAATCTGAGCCTCTCTCGCCAGTGGCGCTTACAACAGAAAAGCATATTGAAATGGCAAAGTGGCTGGCCACACCTTTTCCTCCAGTTAACATATGCTTCTTCGATTCGACGTCGCATCGTTCTCCGGTACTCTCTCTCGCCACAGCACACACAGTAACGCACAATTGCATTTTTTAAAAATGTTTATGTATTGTATGCATCAAAGCGAATCTATTTTTAAGCGGAGTTCTTGAGATTCTGGATGTTTTTGGTATTAAAATTAACTGTGTGTCCTATCCATTTAGGGAGTTACTGTTTAGGAAAATGCGTAATTAGCATTTGCTTGGTCTTTTATATTTCAGTGTTTTTTGTATCGAAGATTGAACAATGGAATGCTTGGGGGAAAGAAGTTTACTTCTTTAAATTTTATGGAATGGAAGCGGAGGTATTTCTTTTGTTTTTAAAGTAACCACTTTAGTGATCCGAATTTTTATGGAATTAAAATGTTACTAGCATTTAGATTCGATTATACTAGTTTAAAATTGTTGAAATACTGTGTTCTGGATAATCAGTTGAAAATTATTTTTTATTTTGAACTTCGAAGGCTGGAATTCTAATCTGCTGAATATGGTAAACCAGATTTCTGGACAACATAAATTGGACTAATCATGTTTACTCATTGTAGCCAAGAAAAGTAAATTAAGACTTTTTAACCGATATTTGTGACGTGATAAACTGATGATAGATTAAACACTAAAGTAGTTGAAGTTTTTGAGGTGAAGACATTGTTATACTGTTAACTACAATGAAAACAAAAGCTACTTAGTGATGGCCAAGATGAAAACTAAAGATATATACCGGGACAGTAAAAAATTGCTGTTGTATAATGGAAATGGCAATAGTAGTTGTTCGGATAAGGTTGTTTGATGTGAGAATAAGAAGCTGTAGTTTCTTAAATAATTTTGGAAAATCATGTGCATTTGCAACTGGAGGTAAGATGTAAATACTCCCATCCTTCCCGTTTTATATTGGTTTGAAGTTGAAGGCATCTGGGTAGAGCTAGGGATTATGTAAAGTTTAGTTTGTTTACGATTCTGTTCTGACAATCATTTTGATAAAGTCTAATGAAATTTGTATTCTCGACTCAATTCAAATGGGAAGGAGTCACTTGAGTTTTGGAAATATCTTTATTCAATTTTTGACTGAAAATAAAGTTTCAATATACAAACAAGCATATTTCTTCAGTTTTGGATGCATTAAACATTTTTCCACATAAAATCTTGAATTCTTTTGACCGCTGGACCTGGGACTGGGACTGGGACTGGGGCCATGGGCATGGACTTGACTCACTTTCTGTTTTTGATAGTCACTGGTGCCTTTGTCGCCCATGTTTAACTGAGAGGGATTAAAGGTTCATCTGTGTTTT